TACTTCAAGAACAGCTGAACAAATTTATTAAGAATTTTTTCAGTCTTTCAAAGTATGGTAAGTTCTCCCAATTACTCAGCTCTCTTAATTCTCTGAGAGCTGGAAGCCAAAATTTACATGTTAGCTCTCCGAATTCTCTGAGGACTGGGAGCCAATATTTACAGAACAATGAAGGCTATCTAACTAGCAGCTTTACTGGGTCAAAGCAAGGTAATTGAGATTGCCAGCGATGCTTTAAAGGCTGCATGGTTAAAACAGAAGCGGGAAAAGAGGTATCTTGTGTGTGACAAAGTTCATTTGGTCAATTTAATCAAAAAAAATTTCTCCTTACTAAGAGCTTGTAACAATATTAGGGCAAATAAACACTTCACTTCTGCAGAGAAAACTGATCCTAAGAAATCCCAAGATGTTGAAAACCACATTTGGAGAAAGGTGGACAAGGAAGAGATGGAGAAGCCACCGAATCTTAATCATAATTCCTTTTTCAGGTTAATGACAGCCTGAAGAGAGGGGCTATTTGTTTGTTTTCACAGGCAAAGGAGATGGGTGGAGTTCTCTTCAGCCGGCAAAGCCCAGAAGAAAGCAAGGAAGCTGTGTAAGCTAACCCCCTGTCCTGTGACTGAAGTTATTCAAAACGTCAGGAAGACCGCCTCGCAAATTCCTGAGAATGGCGATTCCTTCTATTGCTGATGACGTCTAAGGGACACTCTGGAGCTCTTATCAAAGCTGAACATTTTATACAATAATGACTGGACTATTACTACAGACTGTTTTGCTGAAAGATCAAGATTTTGGACTCGTTAATGAATGCCATAATGTGATTGGAATGTAACTGATTTCTGTGTAATTCCTTACCTATATAATGTAGCATTGCATGATTGGGATTTGATTAAGAAACATTTGCAGGGGTTTGAGGGAAACATTTCATTAGACGTTGATCAGCTTAATAAGGATATTTTCTATACATTCAAGGGTGGATTTAAGGCATTCCACTAGCTGAGGTATTTAAGCAATTGGTGGTTGGCATAGAAAGAGGCTGGATCCCACGTGCTTGGGTTAAAAGCATTTCACGTAGCTTAAGTTCTAGTCTGACTGTGTTGTTTATTCATCATAATTTTGATGCTCGCAGTCTCGTGTCGCTTCTATAGGAAGCTAAGAGATATGAAGATAGACCATGTTGCCTCCATGACACTATCAAATCTTAAACGTAATGCAGAAAGGGGAAGTGTGGGATACTAGCACTGTGGGGAAATAAAACTTGGACTTATTCCCTGACTGGTACGGAGGGAACCTGGAAGACTAGTATCCCATGGCTGGAAGACTGCCACTCTGGTAGTTGGAGATATAGTCCAGGTACATGTTCCTGCAGTTGTCTATCATTTCCACAGTTTCTCCCTTAAAGCTGTGCTGCCTTAAAGTGAGCACATGGTTGATTCATTCTCCCTATAGAAGCAGACATTCTTATTTGGCTCTATTTCTTCCTGCCTAGGTATCCAATCTGGCTATAGACCAAAGAATGTACACTGGGACAGATAGGAACTGGAAACACA